AACATCATCAGTGACTCGTGGAGAAGTGTCAAGATGAGAGGAGGCTGTGGTGAGGGCATGGGGAACAAGGCAGAACATATTACATGCTAGAGTGAGTATGTGTAGTTGTGTGTGTGTGTGTGTGTGATAGAAGTGTAGAAGTGTAGTAGTGTTGTGTTGTGTGTGTGTGTTGTGCTGTGTGTTGATATATGTAGTAGTGTGTGTGTGTGTGTTGTGTGTGTATGTGTGTGTGTGTGTGTGTGTGTGTGATGTGTGTGTGTGTGTGTGTGTGTGTGTGTGTTGTGATGTGTGTGTGTGTTTGTGTGTTGTTAGTGGGTTGTGGATCATGGATAAACATCATGATATCCTTGTCAATATATTCCTACTTCTTATCTGTTGATGAAACATGTCATGAGGTTGAAGATGTAAAGTAGATTTATTTACTTAGAATGATGATGTTCCTTACTATAAGTACATGAACTCAGTACTGTACTAAGTACAATTTTGAGGTACTTATTCTTGAGTATTTCATTTTTAGCTACTGATGTCTATACTACTCCACTACGTCAGAGCACATGGAGTACTTCCTACTCCACTGCATGTATTTCAATACCTTAGTTACTTCACAGATGTGGAGGAATGATGTGAAATATAAATCAAGTGTTAAATCAGACTTAGTTCCACCTGGAGTAAAATTCACAAGCTACCCTGCCAGTATACAAAGTCATTCAAACTAGCCTGCACCCTTTACCAGCTTTGAGAACACTTTCATGATCAATCATTGATAAAACATATCATATATATTATTCTGCAAATGGACCAATTTTTTTTTTTTTCCCCCCCCCCCTTTCACATGACTACGTTTCTGTCGCTACTTTTCACTATATTTGACACCAATATTTTCTACTTTTTTTTTTCATTTTCTTACAAAGGAACCTTTCTTAAAATATAAAAACACGGATCAAACTGCAACCCATGATGAAGCAAAATGGGACCTTAAAGACATGACGTGGTGTGTGTTTTTTTTCAGGGGTGCATTGTCCAGCCAACAGCATGTACAGTGTCACAGCTTCTGCTGTCCAATCAGCTGCACTGTTAATCTCCACCTTGTTGAGTAAGGCCCCGCCCAGCGAGGGCTGTGTGTGTAACCCTGGTTACCTGCAGAGTCAGGTAATCCACAACACACTGCCTTCATTCAATGCACATGAACTGTGTGGGGGTGGGACATGCTTTAACTCCCACCCTGTCTCTGCTTAGATCCTATGGAATATGATGGATTGTCATCATCAAGGACATGTGTTTGTCTTTATTGGGGAAACGAAGGCTTTAGCTAGAGTTTCAAAAATACTAAGGTCATTAGTCCACAACTCCCCCATTCTGTAGATCAGAAGGTTGCACACAAAGAACTTGTTCTTAAAACCTCCACGCACCTACTGTAGGTACAGACCAACCCCTACACACTCACACACTCACAGGTACAACCTAAAGGCGAGCTCCCCTCTAATACTTTTAAAACACTTTATCTTGGTTTTAAAATCTGATGTTAAAGAGCCGCTTGTTTTTTAACAGTCCCTGTTAATATATACAGAACTATACAATCAATTACACATGTCTAGACACAGGTCTATATGGTTCCAAGTGAAAATGTTATGGTTAATGGTTAGAAGGGCACTTCATGTCTGACCCTCCACGGGGATGCACACACAGAGAGGAAGTGGGGAGGGGGGGTGTCGCGGTCAGTTTGGAATTTTGTCTCAGTTTCCTTTTTTCTGCGTTTGTGTTCCTTACGTGGGGGAACAGAACCGGGCTAAGGTTTCAGAAATACTTAGGTCAAAACATTTCCCCAGTGCTGGAGGTTTCAGGCAAACAGCTCAACCTCCAACCCCCCAGAAAAAGAGGTTATTGCAGCAAGTTGAACAGAGTTGAATAACTTTAACAGAAGTATATTCTGTTGGAACTGTTGATGAAGTTACCATGGTGATACATGCTCTCTGATTGTCCACACTAGAACAAGAAATAGGACTGTCTGTATGGAAGTGCTTTCGTGTGTACTGCAAATCACATTGTTATTAAGGGCCACCATGAGACATGCTAATGATTGACCTTTGACCATTCAGGATGGCTGTGTGCCGCTGGCTCAGTGCGGCTGCCTCAGTGAACAGCAGTACATCGCGTCGGGTCAGAAGTTCTACCCTAAGCCTGATTGCATGAAACTCTGTGAGTGTCGGGGGGGGATGGTGTCCTGTGAGGACAAACCCTGCCAGAAGGGGAAGAGCTGTGGAGTGCGCGAGGGAGTGAGGGGTTGCTACGACAACCTGAAAACCCCTGGCAACAAAGGATAGAAGAGGAGCAGAGAAATGCAGAGCTTCTTGTTCTAATGAGTGCAGAGCTGTGTGTTTTTACAGTAATACGTAGTAAGTAGTTTTACTGTCATTGTAATGATTTTTGTAATGACACATTTCAACAGTTCAACTGTCAAAAATAAAATCTATAAAGATTATGATGTGAATGTGTATTAAATCATCAATCAATAAAATCATTAGATTATTCCCTGTTGCTTTATTTCTATGCTCCAATATGTCTTTATGCAGAAACAATTAATTTTAGGTTACCTACTCACAGCTAATTTGAAATCGCAAATGTAACACCCAGAGTTGAAACTAACACTTTGTATTAACTTTGGTTTGTATGTGAACCACTGGAAAAGTGTTAAATTAACAAGTGTTTACATTATTAACTATATGAGAGTATTAGAATATATGTCTTAGACTAGAGTGTGTAAGGGAAACTTCTGCAGCAATGGAGAGTCAGGACTCAGAGAGACACGAGGAGAGTTGGAGCTTTGATGTCAAACACTGGTGTTTTATTACAAGTATCGGTCGGAGAATTCACATCACAAGTCACAGCAGCCAGAGGTTCTGACTGCCCGGAGAGTTGCCACATCATTTCTGCCCAGCCTCTCTCTCGATAGACCTTTTAACTAGTTTACAGAGAGTTAATCAACAGCTGGGAACACTGGAGATATACCCAACATCTGGACACACTCTATCACTTGCCTGACTCTTAGGCTCTGTGACCGAGAGTTGACCGGTTATAAAACTGAGAAATATCAACATATGACTGCATTAGCACATTCCTTACGGGAGATAACAGACTCAGGGTTGGTCATAAACGTCCCCACACAGAAAAGGTTAGACTCCTAGGAGTAAGACAAAATTAATCCCTAACAAATACTTTGATTACTAACTTTAAAAGTTTTCCACACCAAGAGAAGAGACATTTGATTTACTCAGTGAATGTTATTACAAGGAAGTTCACTTTTTTAATACTTTATTCCTCGAGTAGTTATATAAAAATGAAATCCAACCCAAGTCTGAGTTCCCCCCATGTGCCTGTTAGACTGAGTATAATTTTATTTTCCTATCCCATAATATAATGTCAAAACAACTCGTGATACAAAGAAGCCCACAGCTAGAAGTGATGCAGTGTAGGTGATGCACCTGACACAAATCAGAGATTATGGGGTGTTATTTTGGATGTGCAGTGCCTAATGTGCCAAAGGCATGCTAATGCATTTTTGTTGCGAGAGGGTTACGCTCAGAACACGAGGTGGGATATGTCAGAATCCATTATCATACATTATTTAGGGTGTGTAGCCTGTTAAACTAAATCTCACCTGCTTCTTTTTAATCCCATTTTAAAGCATGTCCTCTCCCTGCCACGACATGTACTGACAATTTGGGGATTGAGTGCAGACTTTTTAACCAGTTTCCATTAGACAAAACTATTATTCTTATCTGGAATGTGCAGAAGTTGAAGTCACATTTCTGGCATTAATGAAAATCCGACAGTCGAAAAAAGTTTATGATCCAAAACATAGAGCATAGATGGAAATGTACCAACAAAAAGAAACTAGGACGCTTTTATGTGAAATGGAACCAAGTCTCAAATATATTTTCAGCTGAATATACCGTGTGAGGATGGACGTAGCTCACATAATGAGTTTGTTTGTGTGGGGGATTTTAAGCATCAGAGCTAATACATCTCTGCCAGTTATTCTGCCGGGTATTGCAAGAGTTAAATGCATTCAGCTTCAAACAGTCTGTAGTTTGTAACAAGCTGAAACTCTGTGGCCTCAGATGGGCAAAGACCTTGTCACTCTTCTATTTTGGTGACAAACGGGGACATGCACCAACACACCATCTGTGCAGCATTAAGGCGCTATAGAGGCTGTCATGATTGACAAAACTGGTAACAGCGACACCCATTCCAAACTCCTGTCTGGCTTTGGGTCGCTGGAGATGAAGAGTGATGGCCTGTCACTCGGGCTCTCAGCACACGACTAGGGGTTTGGCGTCTGACGGGGAGGAAACAAGCTCATCTCTGATGTGGATGAAAACATGCCACATGCTTGATAATAGCCCCCTCAGCTCAGGGAATAAACAGAGGGATGTTTAAAATGAGATTGTGCTGAAGGGCTTCTGATGGTCCCACGCTGCAGGAGTCTGAACACACCATTTAGTTTGCATGCTTGCACTATAATATATAAGCCCGAACACTTTTTGAAGCTCTTTATTTATCTGCACAGAGAGGTATTACAGGGAAGATAGGAGAAAGTATCAGGGGGATAACATCAATCGAGGTGTGCAGGTAAATAAAGACGCATGGGTACAAGAAGTGAATGCTCAATGCAGAATCCCTGCGTTGGCATTTAACTGTCGTCATGCTCTTTAAAACATCAATAAAGTTTAATGAGAGAGAAGAAGAGAGAGTATGTAGAACTAGGAGAATAATTGTTGCAGCAGAAGCAATGGGAGTTGCAAAAATATTTTAAACATTTAAAACATAAAGGGGATGTCATGAAATATGCAACATAAGTTTTATTGTAGATCAAAGAGACGATTCTCTTTCTTTTACACAATTTCACAGATTTTCTCTTGGATGACACCAAATAAGACTCTTTTGCTTAAATAGTTGCCTGAAATTTTAAAGCAAATAAATGATTCATAACTCTCTTTGCTTTCTAAAAATACTTTCTGTTAAAACTCGGCTGATTTCCTCATCTCTCCAATTGGTTTGATCATATTACAGTAATGAACTTAATTGGTTAGAGCTTGGGTTATGGTGCAAACAAATCCAATTTAAATAAGTCATCGAGACATCTTTAAGAGTTCTTGTTGGTTATCTGCATGCTGTTTTTTTTTTTATGGCAAATGATGATTAGAACGGACATTTCCGGAAACAGTATAGAAAAAGTACTTACTGTCATAACCAGTTCATGACAATCTACTGCTTATTGCTGCATTAGGTCTCAAGTGTTGTTAGATGAGGCTTTTGGTAATAACATGGTATCAGAAATGAAGGGACGGTCCAGTTCACCCAATATAAAATCATTTGATTCAGCAAATGCCTGCTAAATTATTCATATTCTCGTAGTGGGATGAGTCAACAAAACATTTGATTTTGACCTGGGGGACTGGCGGTTGCTTCCTGTTTTTCTATAGAGTTCATGTTGGTTCAACCTAACCATCTTCACAATCCCCTCAACACTTAAACACATACTTTCTATCTTGATTGTAATAGCAAACATAACACTAACGGTCTGTGCTTCAGCCGCTGCTCTCTTTTATCCCTTTTATTACATTTTCTTTATTTCATTTCATTTTTTAACACAGACCAAACAGGGCTTTTATAAACTTGTATTGGTTTTATTACAGGAGTTTTTGAACAGGTTTTTAAACAAAAATACTTACCCGAGAGCCCGTGCTCCCCAACACCTTAACCCGGATCTAATCATCTAAGCTAGTAAAGGAAACATTATTATAGTCAGATCTCAAAACAGTTGTGTTTAAAGTAGAGTCATGACGAATTACATATTTTGTCATGTATTTTGAGGTTTGTTGGAAATAAAATACATTATTCAACAACCCTCTGAAAATGATCATTTATTTTATGCCTTCCGGCTATAGTGTAACATTAATAATACATCAAGCAAACATGGGAGAATACAGTACATGTCATAATAGGCTTGAGTAACGTTTTAAAAGAAAATGCTCAAAAGGACACCACAAACTGAAAGCACATTTACAGAAACCACAATGCAATGTTTTGCATTTGTTCAAACACAGAAGATGTATTGTCCTGGCATCAGAAACACAGTGAGTAGCATCTCTACACTGTTTCAACCCTTATTGTGAGAAATGCCATATGCATATCTGTCTGCATATGAATAATGTTGAAACATTTAATTACAACACCGAGGCGCCTTGGGATACACCCTGTACTTGTGTTTAAATTAATTCTTCAGATGCCCTCTGCTTGACACTTCTGTGAGGAGGCAGGAACCCCATCAGGCTATCGCTGTTGAAATCCGCCCCATGGGGCAGAGCCAGAGCAACAAAAGATATTCCACCAGCTCTACCCGCTCTTCCCTGTACCCTACCTGTAACAGAGCATCCCCAAGGTGTCCTTCTCCCTGTTTACTGACAGACCAGAGGCCTCAGATGATTAATCACTGCAGAGACACACTAGTTCACTAGTTAAAACAACAGCAGCTCCCAGCTCCTTCACCTCTACCAAGGTTAATTAGCATCAGTGTCTCACTCTTAATTACATTACCAGTTTCCAGGGAGCCGATAAGAATAATCATAAAGATCTCTGACAGAGCCAATTGCCTTTTAACTTATTCACAAATAAGGGATTGGCTTAAGAAAACATTCAATTATTAAGCAGATGTCGGCTAAAATACTTTGTGGTTTTAATTTGCATGTGCTTGAGAATAATAGTCCCAAGATTTGTTATGCGCTGTACTTTAACGCAATTCCAATTCCCTTTACAAAGTGAAAATGTTTCTGAATATTGCACCAAATGTCTTTGGGAGCACACTGACTGTGAAGACAGTTGGCAATTGTTGGTTTATAAAATGCCTCTGTTAGATGGATAATCAGCCATTTAGTAAAGATATTTATGGTATCAAATCAGGTATACAATTGAAATTAATCCAATAGTGTGGACAAGATGTGGAAAAAAGTACTCACACCCTATACTAAGGTAAAAGTAGAAATACTATGGTCCTTAAACACTCTATGTCCTGAACTCAAAATCTTACGTCAGTAGAAATAGAGAAGTATTATCAGCTAACCCCTAGATTCCACCGGGTCAGGGTGCGTCGCGTTACGGCCGCATTACGGCAGCGCCGCGGCGTTCGCATAGGTCGCGGTCACTCTAGTCCAGTGGTTCTCAAAGTGGGGGGGCGCAGAGGCATGACAGGGGGGGCGCGAGAAACCAGGAGGAAAAATGGTTATAAAAAAAAAAAAAAATTAAAAAAAAAAAAAAATTATTGATTCGAAAATAATATGATACAGTACTATTACATCTGGGTCTCTGTGTTTCATTAAAGCTCGGCTGTGTGTGTGTGTGTGTGGAACGAGCCATTTTGTGTGTGTGCGCGAGAGAGAGCGTACCGGTACCAGAGATTGTTGTTGTTAGCTTCTGGTGCTAGCAAGCTACACTAACAGATATAAGGAGTTTTTTCAACAACAAAGTGGAG